CGGGCAGTCACTCACCACTTTACCCCACCCTGTTTCCTCCAGTCCCGTCAGAGAAAATAATAGTCTGCACCAGTTCACACTGAAAACAGAGGATGGAAGCCCAGAGGACCACTTAAGTTTGCATGATTTCAGCATTTATGTTAGCACAGAATTGTATTGAAATTCCATCCATCTCTGGAAAGGAATGAGAAAAGAATGAGTAAAAGGCCCAGGGCATTGTCTGGGAGAAGCTCCTCTGCAGAAAAGCATGGGACTGGGGGAAAAGGCTCCCCACTAACAGCAGCAAAACAAGCCAGGGAAGTGTGCAACACCTCCCAATGCCCTGGGATTCCTACCCTCCAAGCACAGATGCTCCTCACTTGACAATAGACTTATGTTCTGATAACCCCATTGTGAGTTTAAAATATGGTAAATTGAAAGTGCATTTAAGGCTGGGCGTCTGTAATTCCAGCATGTTGGGAGGCCGAGGCGGGCGGATCATGAGGTCGGGAGTTCGAAACCAGCCTAGCTAATATAGTGAAACCCTGTCTCTACTAAAAAAGAAAAATTTAAATTAGCCGGGTGTGGTAGTACACACCTATAGTCCCAGCTACTCAGGAGGCTGAGGCAGGAGAATAGCTGGAACCCAGTAGGCAGAGGTTGTAGTGAGCCAAGATGGAGCCACTGCACTCCAGCCTGGGCAACAGAGCGAGACTCCGTCTCAAAAAAAAAAAAAAAAGAAAAAGAAAGTGAAGAAAGTGCATGTAATTTAATACACCATATCAAGCCAGGGATGGTAGCTCGTGTCCGTAATCCCAGCACTTTGGGAGGCCAAGGCAGGTGGATCACAAGGTCAGGAGTTCAATACCAGCCTGGCCAACAAAGTGAAATCCTGTCTCTACTAAAAATACAAAAAATTAGTCAGGCATGGTGGCTGTTGTAACCAAGCAAGTTAGAAGGAACACACCACCCTCTGATTTCCAAATTCAGAGTCCTTTATTGATTTGCCAGCGACGAAGAGACTGCTAATGCTCAAAATTCTCTTGGCCCGGAGGAAGGGACTTGATTGTCTTTTATACCTTGATTTAGGTAGTGGGGGGGGGAGCCTAGCTGAAGTGGAATTTTACAGAAGCAGAAAAGCAGGTTAGAGGAAGGGGCTGCAGGCACAGGTGTCACCCAGAAGGTGGGTATTCAGGCTCCTTCTACACAATGATCAAAGGGAAATTTTTTTCTTACAATAGCAGGTGGGGGTGGGGGAGGTGTATGCCAAGCAGGACGAAGTTACAATGGTTACAAGTGTTAGGAACAGTATGCTTCAGTGCTTCTAAGTGCAGCATGACCCAGTTATGCACTGAGAGGGGCTGTGGTAGGGAGGGGGAAGCCAGGTTGGAGTTTACAGCTAAGCTGGAGTCAGTGATGCTAGCTCAGGGTAGGTTATTACAGTGACAGGCATCTGTAATCCCAGCTACTCGGGAGGCTGAGACAGAAGAATCACTACTTGAACTCAGTAGGCGGAGGTTGCAGTGAGCTGAGACCACGCCATTGCACTCCAGCCCGGGCAACAGTGCCAGACTCCATCTCAACATAAAAAAATACACCTAACCTACTGAACGTTCCAGTGTAGCTTAGGCTACCTCAAATGTACTCAGGACACTGACATTACACTACAGTTAGATAAAACAACTGAACGCAAAGCCTATTTTAAAATAAAGTGTTGAATATCTCATGTAATTTATTGAACCCTGTACTGAAAGTGAAAAACAGAATGGTTGTATGGATACTTGAAACAAACTTTCTACTGAGCTACCTATTGCTTTTATGACCATCACAAAGTAAAAAAAAAAAATCATAAATCAAACCATCATAAGTCAGGGACTGTCTGTAGTTCACCACATATGTGAAAGACAAGTCAAATAGATACCAAAAGAAGAAAATTCAGCAGGATTTATCAAGCATTAACAATGTGCAAAGCCCTAGGCTAGGTACTGGGAATTTTTTTTTTTTTTTTTTTTTAGAGACAGGGTTTCACCATGTTGACCAGGATGGTCTTGATCTCTTAACCTAGTGATCCACCTGCCTCAGCCTCCCAAAGTGCTGGGATTACAGGCATGAGCCACTGCGCCCAGCCTCATCTAGAATTTTTCTCTGGTGGGTGGAGCTAATAAATAAAGTCACACTCAAGGTGACCAAACCTGGGATCAAACCCTACCACTGTCTCATTGTGGGCCTTGAAGAGTTTTATGGTATAAACATTCAACTACTTTGGGGAATAATCTTTCTCTGATAAGGATATTTAGATAAGGAGTTTTTTCCCCCTTATCTAAATATAATCTAGGCATTTACACTGAATTCTGGGGATTCAGTAGAGAAGGAAATAGAGTTCCCACGGAGCCTACATTCCACCATCATGACAACTCCGCTTTTGGAGAACACCCTACGACCAGCTCCACCCACCAGAGAAAAATTCTAGATGGGGCCAGGCGCAGTGGCTCATGCCTGTAATCCCAGCACTTTGGGAGGCTGAGGCAGGTGGATCACTAGGTTAAGAGATCAAGACCATCCTGGTCAACATGGTGAAACCCTGTCTCTAAAAAAAAAAAAATTCTAGATGATATATTAAAGTCCCCTGCACTCTATTATCCTATGATTTTTCTTTATTTTTTTTATTGTTTTAGAGACAGGGTTTCACCATGTTGGTCTGGTCAGGCTGGCCTCAAACTCCTGACCTCATGATCCACACATCTCAGCCTCCCAAAGTGCTGGGATTATAGGCGTGAGCCACCGTGCCCAGCTCCTATAATTTTTCTTTAACTCTCTTGGCCTCTTGCTTCTTTGAGCTCCTAAATTTCATGCAGTATATGAGTTTCCTTCTGGTCATGCTACACTTATTGTACCTATAGGTACCTCTGCCCTCTGGAAGCCTTCCCTGTAGCCTTAGCAGGCTGGGCTTTGTGGTTTTGTGCTTCGCTCTTGGCACTCTTCGTGGGCTTCTATCAGTGGGTGAATCTCATTTTATATTCCTCACTTTAGTACAGGGGCAGTTTCTCATTGAACTTCACACCCTCTAACACCAATCACAGTACCTGGAATAGAACAGGCACTTAATAAATACTTGTTGTGGCCGGGCATGATGGCTAATGCCTGTAATCCCAGCACTTTGGGAGGCCGAGGCGGGTGGATCATGAGGTCAAGAGATGGAGACCATCCTGGTCAACATGGCGAAACCCCATCTCTACTAAAAATACAAAAAATTAGCTGGGCATGGTGGCACATGCCTGTAATCCCAGCTACTCAGGAGGCTGAGGCAGGAGAATTGCCTGAAGCCAGGAGGCGGAGGTTACGGTGAGCCGAGATCGCACCGTTGCACTCCAGCCTGGGTAACAAGAGCAAAAATTCCATCTCAAAAATAAATAAATAAATAAATAAATAAATAAATAAATAAATAAATACTTGTTGCACTGACCAATCTGTAGGGGCCAAGGTGGAAAGTTTTCCCTTTGCCCTCTTAAGGTTCACTACAAAATCTACGTGCAAAAGGAAGATTAATTGGAGAAAAGGCATATAAATGTATTTAATGTGTATACCTGGGAGCCTTCAAATGAAGACCCAAGGATACAGAGGAAATTGTCCATTTTTATGCCTAGGTTCAACAAAATATGGGCACTGGCGTATAAATATGATTGGACAAAAAGGGTATGAGCTAAGACTAATAGGGAAAACCCAGTAAGTCTGTCTGTCTAGATTCTTCTTGGCCTCTCTAAGCACACACTCTTTCCTTCTGGGTATGGGACAGGAGCCCCTCTGGAATGAAAGTCTTATGACCTACAGTCAAACAAGGGAAGTCAGATAAGTCTTTAAGGCCAGATTTTACACAGAATGGCAGAGGGAAAGTGCCCACAGTCACGGTATTAATTCCCTAGAGATGTCTTCACAAAGCACTTGGTGACTTAAAACAACAGAAATGTCTTGTCTCACATTTCTAGTGATTCGAAGTCCAAAATCAAAGCATCAGCAGAACGAAACGCCAAGCTCCCTCTGAAATCTGCAGGGGAGGATCCTTCCTTGTCTCTTCCTAGCCTCTCTCTGGTGGTGGCAGGCAATCCGGCCGCATTCCTAGGCTTACAGCTGCATTACTCCTATCTGCCCCTTCCCGCCACATTCCCGTCTGTCTTCCTGTGGCATTTGACATCGTGTGATAAGGACATCAGTCATGTTGAATGAGGGTCCACCCCAGTGACCCCGTCTTGATTTGACTACATGTGTAAAGATGCAGTTCCCAAGTTAGGTCGCATTCACAGGTGCTGGAGGTTAGGTCTTCAGTATGTCTTTGGGAGTGGGGACACAGTTCAGTCCGTAGCACCCTTGTTGTATAGGTAGTGCTGCTTAGGCATCCAGCCAATAGACCTGTTTATTTACTGCAGTCAAAAAACCTTCTCCCCCTCCTCCTCCCAGCCCAATGACACAGAAGTGCTTTGTGGGCAAGACATTTGCAGGGCGTGGCCATCATTCTAAGCAAGCCTCGCTCCAGGCACCTTGCAACCACTCTTCAGTGAGTTTGCACCCCCGACCCCCGCTAATGTCCTAGGGAGCCAATCTTCTGTTACGTAATTAGACGAGTCTTGAAATAAGCACTCAGGGGTTGTGGCTGAAGACTTTAAGAAACACCAGGCAAAGGGGAGAGGAGGTACGAGACAGTCAACGTTATTTGAGTGGCAGCAGCTTCCTCTGACCTTCGACGAGATAAAGAGACATCACAGCCGGCGAGAGTTTGGAACAGATGATCCCGAGTCCACAGACTCCCCAGATTCGGAGGCCAGGGCAGAAGGGGACCCGGGGCCGCGTGGGGTGGGGTGGGGGGACCCAAGACGGGGAAGGCCCGAGCCGCCGGCAGGGGACGCGCGAAGGCCTCCGGGCGCCGCGAGTGGGGCGGGTGCTGGGGCAGGAGGGGCCTTGGCGCAACTTTTTGGTTGGTGCCGCCCCGCCCAGGCCCCTTTTAAACTTGATCTCCGCGGTTCCCTTCCTTTTCGGCCGCGGCGCGTGACTGGGTAAGTGGGCTCCGACCTGCCGGACGCGGGAGCTTGCCATGCGGCTCCGGGGCTCCCCCTTGCCCTTCCTAGGAGCGTCCCTCGCGGCCCCCTTGCCCGCCCTGGCCTCGGCTCGGCGCCGCGGAGAAGTTAGAGCTCCTCCGGGGTGGGGGCGTCCTCGTGACACCTGGGCCCTTCGTCCCGGGTTAGGATGCCCGGTGTCCTCGTGCGCTTGAAGGGGCAGCCCCCCTTCTTCGAGGATCCCAATCCCACCCAGCAGAAGCTGCCAGGCGCCCGTCACCGCCCCTGAGTCCCTGCCGTCCACGGATCCGGCCTACAGGCAGCTTTTAGTCCCTTTTCAATTAAATGATTGCATTTTGAGGATCAAATTCCCACCGCGGGCGGAGGCGCCGAGCCCCGGACGGTCTCCGGGTTCTTGGCGCCCCCAGGGCTCCCTCCTGACCGCGCGGGCGGACGTCGCCTATTTAGGAAGTGAGATCTGAGGTCTGAAGCACTTTTAAGAGTCCAAGCGGGGCAGTATAATAGCGGGGTCACCAAACACACGGAGGTCACTTCACTCGCGCAGCCACCATCACCCGCCACCAGTGCGGTTCAGTTGCTACTGGCCCGCAGTCGGATAATTTAAAAGGCCCGGAGGGACGAGTCTTGTTGGAGCCGAGGCCGGCAGTGAGTTGAGCAGAGCCCTGTGAGCACTGATAAGGGAGCCTGCGGTTTCCTCCCCAAGATCTGCTCTTTCAGAGTGGCCAGAGCGTTGTACCACACAGGGCCAACTTCCAACATTTTCAGGGTGTGAGGAGGCCCTTCCTGGTTTTCTGTCCTGGGAAAAGTCTGAACTACTGGGTTCTGACTGGGACAAGGACAAGGCGTTGAACGCCTAACATGTCTACTAAGGTGCAGGAATACGCAAGGCTGCCCTAGAGAACGTTTGTCTCGGGAAGGGGAGTTCTTGGAGCGCTCTCTTTTAATTGTTCATTAGTGGTATAAATTGCCATATAAAGGGATACTTTGCGAATTTAGTAAAATCGATAAAGATCTAAATTTAGATTCGAGTCATCAAAGGAAATAATCTTTGTGGCTATCATAGGTACCGTAGTTTTCTGTTGAAATGTGAAGCTTGTGGTTTGTGTTTTCCTCAGTTGTGAAAGACTGCTGCCTTTTTAATGAAACCAAATGCGACCCATTTTACCATGCTTTAACAAGGAAAACTTGTACCTTTGCAGTCTAAGTTCTAGGCACCTTTTTCCCAGCGATATAGATGGGCCCAGAGCATGGACAATTTTCTTTCCCTGGAATAGCTCCAGCTCTGGAGAATAGCCACATACAGCACAGGAAGATGGCAGTGGTGAGCCTTTGTTTTACCATTGCTTTATGTGTTAGGGATTCTTTTTTTTTTTTTTTTTTTTTTTCCTCAAGACGGGGCTTCACCATGTTGGTCAGGCTGATCTTGAACTCCCGACCTCAGGTGATCCACCTGCCTTGGCCTCCAAAGTCCTTGGATTACAGGCGTGAGCCACCACACCCAGCCAGGGATTCTTAGCGAGTCAAATTGTTTTAACGATTCAGTTTCAACTGTGAGAGAGACCATGTCAAGGAAGCAGTGTGAGCTAGTGTCTACTTAAGAATTGTGAAAACTGAGCAAGTTCCCAGAACTAGAAACTTCTCAGCCTTCCTGAACTCAGCCTCAGGGTGAACGAGTTTAGTGCTTCCTTTGATTTTTTTTTTTTTTTTTTTTTTTTTTTTTTTGAGACTGAGTCTCTTGCTCTGTTGCCCAGGCTGGAGTGCAGTGGCACAATTTCAGCTCACTGCAACCTCTGCCTCCTGGGTTCAAGTGATTCTCCTGCCTCAGCCTTCTGAATAGCTGGGATTACAGGCATGGCTACCACACCAGGCTAATTTTGTATTTCTAGTAGAGACAGGGTTTCTCCATGTTGGCCAGGCTGGTCTTGAACTTGTAACCTCAGGTAATCCGCCTACCTCAGCCTCCCAAAGTGCTGGGATTACAGGCATGAGCCATTGCGCCCAGCCTATTCCTTTAATTTTTAAATCTGTGGAAGGTTTGTTTCGTTTTTCCTAGGCAAATATTTTTGGGATAATGTTTCTTTTCAAAATGTATAGTATTTGATGCTGATGAATGGAAAGATGGTGACTTGACCACTTTTCTGCAAGCTAGAAACTACAAAAGACTCCCAAGTGTCAGGAAAAATTTGGAGAATGTAGCTTTGTACAGGAATTATATTCAGAGATAGCAATTTACTCATCAAAGGTAGCTAGTGGATAGCCACTATAGAGACCACTCCATAAAAAAAATTGCATGATATTCTTAACATTGCCTTTCACTTTTTTTAACCAGGCGTGGTGGAGTTTCAAGATGCTGATGAACTTAAGGTATGGGCCAAATGGAAAGAATTTGGGTTAAGTTATTAATAGCTGAAATTGAAATCCTGGCCAAGGATGAGAACTCTAATCTGATTTCATATGCTTCTGCTCTGATGGATTAAAGGATTTACCTGAGGCCAACTTGATATGCAGGAACTTATTAGATGGAATCACACCACTCCCCCTTTTAAAATTACACTTTAGATAAACATGGGGAAAAGCTCTTAGTAAATAGATAATACTACTAAGTCAAGAGAAAAACAGGATTTTGAGTAAAAAAAAATAAATTTAGATGTCATAACATTGTGTAAGACAGCAACGATGTGTAAGATATGGGGGAATGTTATTTACTTAACCGCACAGTTTTTGTAAACATAGTCTAGAGAGTACTGTATTTTGCTATTTAGTAATACCTACTGTGATACTTTTTTTTTTTTTACAGGTCTGGCGCTTGAAAGAATCAATGAAGCGTTTCAAGTAGATGAGATCTATTTGGATATGTTACCTTTAGTATCTACAGAATAGAGGTTGCTTTTTTTGGTTGTTCTTTTCATAGTGGTAGGAAGGGTGAATTTTGAGATGGCCCCAACTGTCTATAAAAATATTACTTCACAGTTTTGTGTCTCTGCCTTACAGTTGAGTTGATCCCGTAGAAAATTTTTATGGAATTAAATTTCATTATTTAAAGTAGTTTTTCTATGAACCAGCTGTGGTCTGTAACTTGACAGTGTTAATACCAAAGAGCAATACCTTAATCATGGTTCATATACTCAACAAAGATATGACTTAACTCTAAAGATTGTTAAGAGTGTTATTTTACAGTATAGTCTTTTTTTCTTTTTTCCTTTTGTAGTTTATGAGATCTGAGTCTTTTTTTTTTTTTTTTTTTAAGGCTCTACTCTTGTTTCCCAGGCCGAAGTACAGTGGTATGATCTCAGCTTACTGCACCATCTGCCTCTTGGGATCATTCTCCTGCCTCAGATCCCCGAGTAGCTGGGCTTACAGGCACGTGCCACCACACCTAGCTAATTTTGTATTTTTACACATTTTTGTTTTGTTTTGAGTCTTGTTTTGTCTTGTGCCCAAGCTGGAGTGCAGTGGTACAACCTCGACTCACTGCAACCTCCACCTTCCAGGTTCAAGTGATTATCCCACCTCAGCCTCCCAAGTAGCTAGGATTACAGGCTAATGTTTATAGAGATGGGGTTTTACCATGCTGGCCAGGCTGGTCTCAAACTCCTGACATCAGGTGATCCACCCACCTCGGCCTCCCAAAGTGCTGGGATTATAGGCACGAGCCACCATGCCCACCCAGTATATTCTTCAACATTACTGTTGAGCCATATATAGGACAATGGTGGACTTGGAATATTTGCACATCTATAGTAAAATGCAATGCTACCTTCATTTTTTGTTGGTATCCTAAAGAAACTTTTTTTCTTTTTCTTTTTTTTTTTTTTTTTTTGAGACGGAGTTTCACTCTTGTTACCCAGGCTGGAGTGCAATGGCACGATCTCGGCTCACCGCAACCTCCGCCTCCTGGGTTCAGGCAATTCTCCTGCCTCAGCCTCCTGAATAGCTGGGATTACAGGCACATGCCACCATGCCCAGCTAATTTTTTGTATTTTTAGTAGAGACAGGGTTTCACCATGTTGACCAGGATGGTCTCGATCTCTCGACCTCGTGATCCACCCGCCTCGGCCTCCCAAAGTGCTGGGATTACAAGCTTGAGCCACCGCGCCCAGCCCCTAAAGAAACTTTTTAAAGTATCTCATTTTGGTTTATGTATTTTATGTGCTTATACATTTTTCCATAGTACTGTAGATCATTTTAGTGATTAAATTTGACACTTTTGACAGAAAAACAAGTCAGTGAGTTCCTTGGGATCAAAAAGGGGTTGATTGCAAATAGACAGGAGGGAATCAGAGTGATTCTACAGTTGTTCTGCATCTTGATTATGGTATGACTGTGCATTTGTCAAATCTTAACAGGATGAATTTTACTGAATGTAAAATCATACTTCAATAAACATGACTTTATAAAAACTTAACCCTCCTTGGCATTTCAGTGGCGTTTCTGGTGAAATCTATGTATGGCAAGGTGGTTTGGGGGTCACTATTTACATTAACTGCCAAGTTGAAATAGCAAAAATGCATCAAAGTCACTCTTGGGATATAAGTCACAGAGGTGACTCATGCACACAATAAATACCTGAGAAGCAGGGCCAAATGGCAGTTATGTATCAGCATGCTCATCAGTACTGTGAAAATTTCTCTTCTGGATGGCAATAACACTGCTGTATCCACTTCACAGCAGCATTTTAAGTCTCATCTGTGATGTATCCATTGCAGTGGCTATGAGGTGGCACAAAGTGGGATATGGAAAATCTGTTACATGTGCCATTACTCTGAATACTACTATGGCTTCCCTGCAGTATTGCTTTCCATATTGGCTGTTTTCCATTCCAAGAAAGCTTAGGATGTTCTTGACAAATACTGGCTAACCAAGAAATTAGAAAAATGAAAGGAAGTGGAGTAATTGGTTTAGGGTTGAAACAGGTTGATGCTGCATAAACCACATGGTTGACTCTGAAAGACTGGCTGAAAAGAGCCAGTCTGCATTCCTTGTCCTTATTGCCTTGGAGGAATCAAGGGTGCTTCTTAAAAAGGATAGATTCAAGTATGGGTTGTGAGTCATTGTTCTTTTCTGTATGTAATAGGTCTAACTGCAGGGTCTGTAGAGCCCTGCCCTGGTGACCAAGTATTTGCTGACACAACGGTTGTGTCATCTTTCCTGTAGGAGCAAAGTACTTCAGATGTCCCTTATTTTAAGTTTGATACCTTCCCTGCCACTCCCCCACTGCCAAATCTCCTTAACTTACACCCTAGCAATGCAGAGTTGTCCAGTATAGAACCCTGGTTAAGCGTGGCATCACCCGGGAAAATGGAGTAAGTGGTGACAGTCAGTGATTGATTCCACAGAATCAACTTGCCTTCCTTAGTACAGTGCACGTGTACATGTTTAGCAGAGCTAAAAGCAGGAATGGACTATTAAACCACCATTTTGTGCTCAAGCGCCATGAAGAGAAGTAAGCCTGGAGTTCAATGAAATGTTTTTGTTTAAAGAGGACTTAAACTAATTTCAAGTGAGAAACTTGGGCATGTGAATCTTTAATTATGACTATTAAAAAAATTGTGATTGGAAATGTAATTTTTATGCTAATGGTTATGATTTCATTGAAATAAAATTTCAGGAGGCTGAGGCAGGAGAATTGCTTGAACCCAGGAGGTGGAGGTTGCGGTGAGCCGAGATCGCGCCATTGCACTCCAGCCTGAGTAACAAGAGCGAAACTCTGTCTCAAAAAAAAAAAAAAGAAAGAAAGTAGAAAATCTTATTTAAGAACTCTGGGCCGGGCGCGGTGGCTCAAGCCTGTAATCCCAGCACTTTGGGAGGCCGAGGCGGGTGGATCACAAGGTCGAGAGATCGAGACCATCCTGGTCAACGTGGTGAAACGCCGTCTCTACTAAAAATACAAAAATTAGCTGGGCATAGTGGCGCATGCCTGTAATCCCAGCTACTCAGGAGGCTGAGGCAGGAGAATTGCTTGAACCCAGGAGGCGGAGGTTGCGGTGAGCCGAGATGGTGCCATTGCACTCCAGCCTGGGTAACAAGAGCGAAACTCTGTCTCAAAAAAAAAAAAAAAAAGAACTCTGGTCACCAAACATTCCCAGGTAGTGACGTAAAACCCAATATAACAATTGTGGCATTGACATGACATGTCAGTTCATGTAGATTGAGTCACAATTTGATTTCAAGAATGGCCATAACCCATTTTATCTTACTCTGCAGTGTTCCTAAGCAGTTGGATACAAATAGATTCTGTGTCCTAAAAGTAGCCAAATCTTTGTAGTTCAAGAGAATATTTCAGACTAAACTATATGTCTTTTGAAGGTCCTTAAGACTTAGATATTTAGTTATATAATTTGGCAAATGTTTACTGTTTTGTTGTGTTAAGTCCTGTAATAGAGACAAGTCCTACCTTTCTGAAGCTTTCACAGTGTGACTCATTTCAGTATGTAAGTCGGAGACAGTTTTAATAGAATGTGCTTTGGTTGACTTCTGTTGTAAGGAATACTTTCATTTTGTGTCGGGGTCGATATCTGAAAGATTAAATTGTTAAGGCAAACTGAAAAGATCTAGTTATACCTTCCCACACCACATTCCCAAAATAATTTAGGGTGGTTTATAACAAGTATCAAGCAACAATAATTAGCAGATAAAAGCTCAGCAAGTAGAAAGAAAGAATTAAAAAACTAGCCATTATACCTCATGCTGTAGGCTCCAGCCAAGTTGGCTCTGAGCTTCCTGAGAACAAAGAGCCAACTGGCAAGTTAGTAATCTGACAATTGCCCTAATTTTTTAATGGAGGAGGGGAGTGGTCCTTTGCATTCTAAGCTCCTTAAAGCCAAGTGAGGACATTTTCTTCATCGTCTCAAGTACTCTACTTTGAAGGAAGGAATGAATCAGAAGGTGTCTGCATAACTAAATGGGGATCTAGAGAAAATGGAGGCTGCCTCTGGAGCAGGGAGCTCAGTGGACCAGATGATCTGATGGGTCTGGGTCAACTCAGCTGATTGTCAAGCCACAACCGGGGATATCTTTCCTCTTGAGGAGACAAAAGCCATGCTCAGGTTCTGTGAACAGATAGCCAGAGATCTGTTTGAAAGGCTTATTTTCATTTTGTACTAGAAATCATTGTCTTTCCAAAATTTACTTTGTATTCACAAACTGGAAAGTTCTGATGGCAATATTTTGTTATAAATACTGACACTGATCACAATTTCGGGATTATGCCACCATGACTAGAAGGCCCCCTCATGGAGTTTATCTACACTGCAAGGGGCCAATTATCAGAATCATCCTCCAGTGACATCTGCATCTCCAGGACAGCTCCACACCAATCTGTTTCAAAGACACAGACAAAATCGGGTCAAAACAGTTTGATGTATGTTTCTGGGAACACAGCTGAATGTTGTAGCTGAGGGAATGAAGTCTCATACGATTGGTTTTGCAGCTGGACAAGTGCCCTGCCATGTTACTGCCATTCTTTAACGTAGAATAGAGCACTCTATGTCATTTATATGCCTCTCACAGTGAGAAATATGCGGAACTTTGGGAATCAGAGTCTAAAACTGCAGTCCAATGGGGTAGCCACTAGTCATACATACTACTGAGCACCTAAAATGTGGCTAGACCAAGTTGACATGTGCTGTAGGGTGAAAAACAGGAGTGAAGAATTGACTTGAAAGAATATAAGAAATCTCAATTTTATATCGATTGCAAATTAAATGATGTTTTGAACATACTGAGTTAAATGCTTTTTTTTAGATACATGGTATGCATTATATTTCTATTGGATGGTACTGGTCTAAAACAGTTGATTCACCTTCCAGTAGAAAGAAAAGTATTGCTGTTTTACCATATAGGAACTTCAGGGAAAAGAAGATAAAATTAGTATTTGCAAATGCAAAATTTAAGGTAAACAGATATTTCTGAAGGGCAGAAGGTGCAGGGGTAGAGAGAGTCAGCACTACTTAGAAGATTTGACAAATTCTTCACTCAAGCTTCCTAGTACTTTTGGAGATTTTATTTTATTTTTGAGATGGAGTCTCTCTCTGTTGCCAGGCAGGAGAGCAGTGGCATGATCTCGGCTCACCACGACCTCCGCCTCTGGGTTCATGCGATTCTCCTGCCTCAGCCTCCCAAATAGCTGGGATTACAGGTACCCACCACCACACACAGCTACTTTTTGTATTTTTAGTAGAGATGGGGCTTCGTCATCTTGGCCAGGATAGTCTCT